ATGTCCTTCTGACTACCACTCGTACCGACTCCAGAAGACGGTTTAGGTTTCGGATTAGCCGAGATCTGCTTCGGTGGGAGCGTTGCTTGAGGATTTGTTGGCTGCTGCACAGCTGCCTGCTGCTTCATCTGAACGAGCGACCTGCAGCAGGCGCATCGGGATCGGCCGCATGGAAAGAGGTGAATTAAAAATTTTGGGGGATAGGAGAATGATTCAGGGCATTCGGGAATCCATCAGGCGCTGCGGCGGTGCGGGTTCATAACACAACCTGAGCAGGAATTGCTACGGTGAGATCTAATAAACGCGTCTCATTCCTAGTGCAATCACAATGGTTACAGAATATATGCTAGATAACAGAAGCGGAGGGTCTTTTAGGCTGGCAGCTCAGGCAAACACACATTCCTAGTGACCAAGCCTACTGAAACGTACCGAACGGCGAACGAACGTGGGACGCAAAGCATAATGGTGACGAGAAGGAGGAGGAGAGAAGAACGGCGCGCCATGGCTGGCGATGCTCACAAACCCTAGAAAAGATACTCCTCCGAGTCCCAGGACAGGAACGAGCGAGATGCTAGCAGAACTGAAAGCTTGACCACACTTGGCCCCAGCTGGCTTTTTCGCCTAGCGTGTCTCAGGGATTGGCTTGAGAATCTCGTTTTAATGCGGCTGAGAACGTTATTCTGCGATTTAAAACATTTGTCAAAGGGGAACAAGCAGTGGGAGAGGACGAACCTTCGGGGCAAGGAAGGAAAGCAGCACGAAGCGCCTGGCTGGGAGAAGGGATGGGATGGGAGAGGTGCAGTTCGCCCCCCTCTAGTCCCACTCCCTCTTGGGCGAGTGTTTTCGGTTTGTTGCGTTCGAGTACGGTGGTGTGCAATCCCGAACGGTCTTGAAACGCGACTCACCGCTTTGAATCGTGATACATGAACAATGAACGTACAGATTGTGACCCTGTAGGGGCTGGTGCGAAGCCAGCTTGTGTGGACCCTACCTGACGTGGAGTCATGGGCGCTCCACGTAGATCTATGCCAGATCCTCGTCCACGTGGGTCAACCGAACCTGCTTCGGTACTTCTTGCTGAAATCGGGCTTTGGGGGAAGTGGGCAAAGTTGGATATCGACGGCTAACGTTTACCCAAACCTTCTCGCACCAACTTCGAGGAGGCTTGACAAAATGCTTGTTCAGTGGGGCTCAATGAGGTTCTTTACGCTGCGCAACGGCCATGCGTTCATATCAAGTGTTTGGGTAGGGTATTGAGAGAATGCAGACATTCACGTCACTCCCCCAGTGAGCGCCCAGCGGCAATTATAAATGCTCCATTGGCAGGTGACTGACATGAAAGGAGGTCGCGCGTAGCATAGCATCCATCCATCCATCACCCATCAATTTATTGTTTATTTCTAGTACGCTTGCTGTTCTGGAACGAGCAAGCTATACTGGGTGTTCCCTCCTCTTCCTTGGGAGCTCTAGTCACCGCTTGTTCAGTGCACGACGCAACGTCCCGTTTCTGCATTTTTCGTGTTTAGTTTATAGTAAATGTGTGGTGCACTGCTGTCGTTGCCGGCGTGGATCCTCCATCCACACTGTGTTGAAGCCTGATTGCGATACCTGTCAACGCTTCAGTAGTAAATAGATGCATAAGTACAGCAGCATAAGGCGCTACAAGGACCAACTTCACGAGAAATTGTAGGGTGCCTTGGGGGTACATTACGAGAAAATTGTAAGGTAACCGCTCGGCGATCGTATGGTAGCGCCGTTTGAGTCCGATTCCACACAGTACGAATACCTGTCGTTACGTAGCCGCATTGATCCAGAAGCGGCAACCACTTCACAATGTCGAAGCAATCCCATGACGTCCTTGATACAGCCGTCGCGTTCCTCCAGAAGCGGGACGGCACCGACAAAGTGCTCAAAATCTGCCGGTACTCCGTCAAGCTCCTCCTCGCCGTCACGTTAAACCATCCCTCGCAAACAGCCGGCTCCGGCTCCGGTCCTCAGTCTGAAACCGTTCGACGGCTCAAGAGCTTCGAGTCGAGCGTGGGGGCGAGCCGGAAAGCCCTGCGCGTGGGGAAGTTTCTGCAAGACGTGGACGCGCTGAGGAAGGCTCCGCCATTCAGCAGCGTGGAGGGGTTTCTGGAGCTCGTCGCGAGCGGCGGCGAGGGGGTGTACTACTTCGTGGAGCAGCTCGTGTGGCTGGTAGGTGGAACTGCTTTTTTTTTACCTTTTAAGGTGCCTTATAACGGGTTTCTAAAGCTCGTGGCGAGCGGCGGCGAGGGGGTGTAGTACTTCGCGGAGCAGCTCGTATGGCTGGTAGTTGGAATGCTCTGCTGTGTGTGCTTGCTCCGTGCATGCACATGGGACATCGCACGTTGCACCTTGCGTCTTGCATATTGCACTTGTTCATTGTTTATCTCTTGCTACAGAACAGCGAACGTACGAATCTTAAGGCGAGGAAGCCAAAATGGGTGAGTAAATAAGTATGCTCTTTGTTGAATGTTTCCCCCATTCGCTTGGCAGGTCAAGACCGGCGCCTTACCCAAAAAGCACTCGAGGCAGCTAGAGAAGATCAGCGCATGGGCAGAGTTCATAGGGTATTTCGGAAGTGTAACCCTGACATCCATGGAGATAACCACCCTCTTGCACAAAGAGAGATCAGTTTCACTCCAGATAAAAAACCAGCCAATCCCATTCTCCAATGGCGGATCCTGCCAACCGCCCGACCAAGCTGGTAGTAGCAGCAGCAGCAGCAGCGTGGATATGACGTCATCAGGGGAGGCTGCAAGGAAGCTTCTTAAGGCGCTTCGATTCAAGCGGCTATTAAAGACATTGGCTCTCATCCAGGACCTATCAGACGCTCTCCTGGCTCTGCATGACATTCTAGAAGATTCTGATGGGAACAGCCCGCTAGGGAACCCCGCGCTTCTGGCTGCTTGCGGGTTTCTGTCTGCGTTGATATCCACGCACAAGACATGGGTGTCTGCTTCAGGGTAACCTTATGTGCCTGCAATCAGCTGCTGATACCTGTAACCAGCACCAGTGGATCCATCTGTCCGACCGATCTCATGCAATCTCATCTGTCATGCACGATCTTCTACAGCATTGTGATCAGTGCGCTCGGTGCCATGATATCCTATCCATATGCACAGGTGACAGGAACTCGGTGCCAGCACCAGGCAAGCCTTGTGCTGGTAGCAGTGGTAGTTCCAACTTCAGGGTCTCTGTGTCAGCAGCACCACTAATTCAGCAGCTCCCGTATCATTCCCAGCCTCGTCCGTGTGTATAGCATTAAAGGCTCGCCCTAAGGTGCAGTGCACATGCAGCGATTGCTGATTGCTGTTTGTGAATTGGTACCGGTATCTCAGTGTTAATGTGGTGGGCTGGTAGAGCAGTCAAGTCATATGGAAGTCATACCGTATGCCTCCTAAGACAATGCAGTTCTGCTTCAACATCATGTACGGTACTTTATCTTTGTCCAATACGGGTACTAACAAACAAGCTACGGTGCTTTATTATGGAGCACTCAAACCACATTACACCATGCAATGCACTGTTTGTAGCAACGCAATCCCTGCACACATGAGCCCAATTCAAAGCAAAGCTTGGCATCCTATACACAGCCAGCCAGGTCAACTCTGTGCCGCTGCTTATGACAATAGTCGACAAGTTACAAAACACCCTTGGGAAATACAGCAAATGAAATGCACAAGCAGCCACCAGATATGTCTGCATCGGTAGAATGAAAGAGGTTGGGAAGATGCACTGCATAGCCCTCTCGACCTCCACCTCTTCCCACCCACCTCTTCCAGCCTCTTCCCCACCTCTTTCCACCTCCTCAAACCTCGTTCTATTTCTTTCTCCACCATCCGCCCATGTTCTCCCTACCTTTCACTTCCCTCTTCCCCAGCCTCCTCCAACCTCTTCCCAACCTCTTCCCAACCTCTTCCCAGCCTCCTCCAACCTCTTCCCAACCTCTTCCCAGCCTCCTCCCAACCCAACCTCTTCCGGCATGGGTTCATGAGGGGAGTGAGGTGAACCCAGCTACCCTTGCGTGCACTCCATTAAGAAACCTGCTAAACCTTTCCTTCCCCTCTCCTGACTACCCCTCCTCGAGCCACAACGCCCTTCCCTCATCCCATTCACGCCACCAGCGGCTCACGAGGTGGTAAGTGAGCAAAACCCACCTACACCTGCCTGCAATGCATTAAGAAACCTCAGCTACTCCGGTAACATTTCCTTCACCTCAGGCCTTCTCATTCTCAGCCAATCCTTCCCTTCCTCGGGCCATGCCGCCCCACCCTCACCTCACTCCCTTCACTTCGGCTTGTCGTGGGTTCACGAGGTGAGTGAGGTGAACCCAGCTACTCCTGCTGGCTGCTTGCTTGCACACGTCTCTGACCACCAGTCTCCCTTCCTTCCCCTCCACTGACCCAGCCAAGTACAGGTTTCCCCCCTTGTGTAACACCCTTGCTTCCTTGCTTGCACTCCTCTCCTCTCTGCTTGCCAGTCTCCTTTCCTTCCCCTCCACTGACCCAGCCAGGACCGTATTCCCCCCCTTGTGTAAGACTCTTGCTTGCTTGCACCCCTCTCTGCCCACCAGTGTCCCTTCCTTCCCCTCGTGTGGCCCAAGTGATCTGCTGTGAGTGTTAGCTTCGGTGACGGAGTGTGGTTGGTGCCTGGGAGGAGGAGGAGGAGGAGGAGGAGGAGGAGGAGGAGGAGGAGGAGGAGGAGGAGGAGGAGGAGGAGGAGGAGGAGGAGGAGGAGGAGGAGGAGGAGGAGGAGGAGGAGGAGGAGGAGGAGGAGGAGGAGGAACCCTTGGACCACCTGGGATAGGCGGGGACATGAGGGGAGAGGGATGGATCAAGACAGGTGTTCTGGCTGTCAGCTTTGGTGACGGAGTGTGGCTGGTGCCTGGGCAGAATAGGAGGACGAGCCTTTGGACCACCTGGGATAGGCGGGGACACAAGGGAGTGGGGTGGGAGAACGGGGATTTTGGAGTCGACTCAAAACAGGCCCCAATGCAGGGGGGAAGGACGATGCACAGAAGAAGAGGAGGACGAGCCTTTGGACCACCTGGGATAGGCAGGGACACAAGGGGAGAGGGATAGTGAGCTGTTGTGAGAGTCAGCTTCGGTGACGGAGTGTGGCTGGTGCCTGGGAGGAGGAGGAGTAACCCTTGGGACCTCCTGGGATAAGCGGGGACACGAGGGGGGACGGAGTGAAAGTAAGAAACGTTTTGAGTTGCTTTCATACCGGTGTGCTTTGAAACACACTGGGATGCAAACGAGGAGGGCGAGGAGGAGGAACAAACCCTTGGGACCTCCTGGGATATGCGCGGATACGAGGGGAAGGGGGATGGGGGAGCGAAGAGTGATGGGGTGGGAAGGATGTAGAGGTACCTACAGGCAGTGCATGATTGGAGAAAGGAGAGGATGGTGAGGGGAAGGGGGGTAGAGAGAAGCGAGTCTAATTATGAGGCGCCTCAAAATCAGACGCCTCCAATTTTTGAAGAGGTACCTAGTTGACTTTTGAGTCAACAGTCACCTCGGTACCAAGAGGCAGTGCATGAGTGGAGGAAGGAGAGGATGGTGTGGGAAAGAGAGGTAGACGGAAGCGAGATGGGGAAGAAGAAAACAGTTGGAAGTGGGAGGGGAGAGAAGGACGCGCACTGAGAGGTGAGGCGGGATTTGAGAGAGGAGAGGAGAGGATGGCCGAGGGGAAATGGAGATGGGAAGAAGGAAAGAAACGGAGTGGAAGGGAAGAGAAGTACTGAGAGGTGAGACAGGATTTGAGGGAGGAGAGTATGGCGTGGGGCAAGGAGGCAGGTGGAAGCACAGAGATGGGGAAGACGGAAAGAGTTGACGTGGGAGGAGAGAGAGAAGGAGACGTACCGCAAGGTAAGGCGGGCTTTGAGGGACGAGAGGATGGCGTGGGGCTGGCAGCCCCGAGGGAAAGGCGGGGTACGATCCTCCATAGGGCTGAGAAGGAGGATGGAAGGGGGAGGGATGGGAGGCGAGTGAGGGACAGGAGTAGAGGGTGGAAGGAGAGCGAGTGCGCTTGTCAGTAGAGCTGAGAATGGGAACACAAAAGTTTTGAGACGTCTCAAAACTCTACTTTATCACGTGGGAACGCAAAAGACACGTGCCGCACGAGGAGAGGACGGCATGGGGCTGGCAGCCCCGAGGGAAAGGCGGGGTATGATCCTCCATAAGGATGGGAGTGAGTGAAGAAGGGAGGGACGAAGAGATGGCATGAAGAGATGGCATGAAGAGATGGCATGAAGAGATGGCATGAAGAGATGGCATGAAGAGATGGCAACGGATGGTGTGACGGGAGTGGCTCGCAGCTCAGCAGAGACGTTGACTAAAACCCCAACCCTTGATTTCTATGCGCTATTCCTGGTTGCCCTCTTTCCTGGTCATCTGTGGCACGGCACACCTGTTGCTGGAAGGAGCAGCATCCGCCAGGTTATTTCCCTGCCCAGCAGCACCAGGAGCAGCAGCAGACTCAAAACGCCCATCACAGCACCATCATTATCTGCCACATACCTGGCAGCAGCAGAGAGGTATTTTGAGGCGCCTCAAAATACACCTCAGTGCTCACGGATTTTTTAGGCGCCTCAAAATAGCAGCAGAATCAAAACGCCCATCACAGCACCATCATTATCTGCAACATACCTGGCAGCAGCAGCAGCATCCGCCAGGTTATTTCCCTGCCCAGCAGCTGTAGCAGCACCGGTTGTGGGAGCAGCTGCCCCAATAAAAGGAGGTGGCAGGCCAGCAGCAGAGGTCCCAGTGGCCCTGTCGCTGACATCCGGTGTGGCAGCAGCACCTGTAGCAGCAGCACCTGTAGCAGCAGCACCTGTAGCAGGGGCTGTAGCAGGAACTTCCCCAAAAAAAGGAGGCGCCAGTCCAGCAGCAGAGGTCCCGGGGTTGCTACCACCAGCTGTAGCAGCAGCAACTGCGGCAAGAGGTGCAGCAGCGGCTGTAGTAGCGGCTGTGGCAGGGGCTGTAGCAGGGGCTGTAACAGCGGCTGTAGCAGGGGCTGTAGCAGGTGCTTCCCTAACAAAAGGAGGAGCAGCAGCCAAAACGTTTCCAGCAGTGGTGCTGCTACCAGCGGTAAGGAAAGAAGCAGTAGCAGGCGTTGTGTCAGTGGCTGTAGCAGCTTTTTCCCCGATAAAGGGAGGACCTGTAACGATGATGGCTCCAATACCAGCGGTGCCAGCACCACCGCCACACACGTCAGCTGCTGCTATAGCAGCAGCACCTGTAGCAGCAGCACCTGTAGCAGCAGCAGGGGCTGCATCATCTGCTTCTCCAATGAAAGGAGGTGGCAACCCAGCAGCATCAGCTGTAGCAGCATCAGCTGTAGCAGCATCAGCTGTAGCAGCATCAGCTGTAGCAGCATCAGCTGTAGCAGCATCAGCTGTAGCAGCATCCTCCCCAACAAAAGGAGGTGCCAACCCAGCTGCCCTCACACTTTGACCACCCACTCCTGTCACGATCGCACCACCCCCCACCCCTTGAAACCTCCCCCCAACCGTTCCCTGCTCCTCCGAACCTGCGAGCACCAGCTTCAGCCCTTCCTGCCCTTCACCGCTGAACCTAGAGGAGGAGGCTCGGGAAGTTGACCCGAGGCTAGATGAAGCTTGGGGATCAGAGCCGAGCCTGCCATCTGATGCAGCCGGGGGAACAGCACCAGCAGCAACCCCACCACTGGCGGCAGTCGAACTAGTAGCAACAGCAGCGTTCGTAGCAGCAGCAGCAGCATCTGTCGCAGCAGCAACACCTCTAGCATGAGCTACACCTATTACACCAACAGCATCTGTAGCATCTGAAGCTTCCCCGTGCTGCTGCTCCTGCTCAGCCTGCTGCTGCTGCCGATGCTGCTCCAGCAACAGCCGCTGCTGCTCCTGCTGCTGCCGCACCAGCAGGCAAGAGAGGGACGCACTCATAGGTGCCAAAGCAGCAACAAGAGACGAGCTTTCAGATGGGGAGGAGGCCGTGTGAGCTACAGATGCTGCTGCTGCTGCTGCTGCTGCTGCTGCAGTAGAAGGGTGAGGAGGAGGAATATTGTGAGGAGGAGTAGGTGCCAGGATAGACTCTGTATAAAGAACCCCGCTTCTGTTTTGAGGAGGGGTTTCTCCTGTGTCAGAACCAGAAGAATTGATAGGGAGCACTCCGTTCCAGCTCACAGTGGCTCCTAGAGGGGTATCCAAAGGGAGAGCACCTGCTGACAGGCTGAAGCCTCTGTTGGTTTCTCCTGAACTAGAGGTCTCAGGTGGGTAGAAGGAGAGGGCGGAGGGCGGGCGTGGGCGCAAGGGCGAGAGGGAGAAGGTGGGCGGGGAGCATGCTGCCTCTGCTGCGAGAACAGATGGGTCCGCGCGATAGCATGCGATGGGGGGGAGAGGTGAAGGGACAGGCAGGGGCTGCACCAGCATCAGAGGTGGCCGCAGCAGCAGAAGATGCAGAATTAGCAGGGGTACCAGCAGCGACAGCAGCAGAGGTGGTATCCGAGAGTGTGGCAGTAGCGGCAAGAGAGGTCGCTGTGGTGGGTAGCGAGGCTGATGGGGCAGATGCAGAGGCGGATGGAGAGGAGGAGGAGGCGAGTGCTGCTGAAAGAGAGGCAGAGGAAGAGGAGGAGGAGGAAGAAGAGGTGGTAATTGTGGTGGTGGTGGTAGTGTTGGTGGCGGGGATAGTAGAGGAGGAAGGGGAGGCGGAGCGTGAGGAGCGGTGTCTGTGAGGGCTGAAGGAGAGAGCGAAGGAGCGGGGGGAGGAGCCGGAGAGACCGCGAGAGGAGGAAGAGGAGGAGGTGGCGTGGCGGAGAGAGGAGAGGAGGGAAGAAGGCAGCCAGCGATCGACAGGCGAGCCCGATGTGACCGTGGCCTGCAGGGGGGAAGAAGGGGAGTCCAGGGGAAGGAGAGTGAGCAGAGTCGTCTGTACGGGGACAGAAAGGGAGGAGGTGGCGTGGCAGAGGGACGAGGGCAGCCAGCGTTCCACAGGCGAGCCCGATGTGACTGTGGCCCGCAGGGGGTTAAGGCGGGTGGGGACAAAGAGAATGAATATCGGTGTAAGACGGAGGGAGGAGAGGAGGGACGAGGGCAGCGAGCGATCCACAGGCGAGCCCGATGTGACTGTGGCCCGCAGGGGGAGGGGAATGAAGGGAGAGAGGACGGGACAGGAAGAGGAGGGGTAAGGGAGAGTGAGCATGGTTGTAAGGGGTTGGAAGGAGTGGAGGGACGAGGGCAGCAAGCGATCGACAGGCGAGCCCGATGTGACTGTGGCCTGCAAGTGGGGAAGGGAGAGGAGGGGGGTACAAGGAGGAGGGGGGTACAAGGAGGAGGTCAGAAGCACATGGCGGGATGGACGTGACTTTTGAGTCACCTCAAAATTCACCTCAAAAGTCGACTCAAAATTCACCTCAAAAGTCGACTCAAAATTCACCTCAAAATTCGACTCAAAAGTCGCCTCAGAAGTCACTTTGGGTACAAGGAGTGGAGGGAGATGAGAAGCACATGGCGGGATGGAGCAGGGATGGAGGAAGGTCGCCCATTCTTGGCCCTCTCTCTACGCCACACCCTCTCACCTGCACACCCCCTCTCACCCGCACCCACACCCCCTCTCACCCGCACCCACACCCCCTCTCACCCGCACCCACACCCCCTCTCACCCGCACCCACACCCCCTCTCACCCGCACCCACCACACCCCCTCTCACCCGCACCCACACCCCCTCTCACCCGCACCCACACCCCCTCTCACCCGCACTCACACCCCCTCTCACCCGCACTCACACCCCCTCTCACCCGCACCCACACCCCCTCTCACCCGCACCCACCACACCCCCTCTCACCCGCACCCACACCCCCTCTCACCCGCACCCACCACACCCCCTCTCACCCGCACCCACACCCCCTCTCACCCGCACCCACACCCCCTCTCACCCGCACTCACACCCCCTCTCACCCGCACTCACACCCCCTCTCACCCGCACCCACACCCCCTCTCACCCGCACCCACCACACCCCCTCTCACCCGCACCCACACCCCCTCTCACCCGCACCCACCACACCCCCTCTCACCCGCACCCACACCCCCTCTCACCCGCACCCACACCCCCTCTCACCCACACCCACACCCACACCCACACCCACACTATGACTTTCAGGCCTACCCACACCACAAACATACCTGGCTGTTGCTCTTCCGCTGCTCCCTCTGCTCCTGCTGCTGGCGATAGCGCGACGGAGCAGGAATAGAGGAGGGCGAGGAGGAGGACAAAACCCCCGTGCCCATGGGCTGAGTCCCCCGCCTCGCCTGCCCACAAGCACACTTTCTTCTAGAGCTTCAAGCTCACACAGTTGCTCACCTGTTCCCAGGGGGAGAGCCTACCCTCACCACAAACAAACTTTTGAGACGTCTCAACTTTTGAGACGTCTCAACTTTTGAGACGTCTCAACTTTTGAGACGTCTCAACTTTTGAGACGTCTCAACTTTTGAGACGTCTCAACTTTTGAGACGTCTCACAGTTGCTCACCTGTCCCCAGGGGGGGAGAGCCTACCCTCATCACAAACAAACATACCTGACTGCTGCCCTGCCGCTGCTCTTGAGTCGACTCAAAAACAAACATACCTGACTGCTGCCCTGCCGCTGCTCCCTCTGCTCCTGCTGCTGCTGCTGCTGCTGCTGCTGCTGGCGATGGCGGAAGGGAGCAGGGATGGAGGACGACCGTCCTGTACACATGGGCTGATTCATACTGAAGAGTTGATTCATACTGGCTCCGCAACCCACCTGTTCGACCTCGACAGTTCCTGCTGGCGATGGCGCAAGGGAGCAGGGATGGAGGACGACCGTCCTGTACCCATGGGCTGAGCCCCCCCATATCCTCGTGGGCTGAGCCCCCCCATATCCTCGTGGGCTGAGCCCCCCATATCCTCGTGGGCTGAGCCCCCCATATCCTCGTGGGCTGAGCCCCCCATATCCTCGTGGGCTGAGCCCCCCATATCCTCGTGGGCTGAGCCCCCCCGCCTTGCCTAGCCCCTCACCGCCACGCCCCTTGTTGCCACTCGTTTTGCTTAAAGCCCATCGTATGACTTTCACGTCTACCCACACACATACCTGACTGCTGCTCTGCCGCTGCTCCCTCTGCTCCCGCTGCTGCTGCTGGCGATGGCGGGAGGGAGCAGGAATAGAGGAGGGCGAGGACGAAGACCCCCCTGTGCCCATGGGCTGAGCGCCCCGCCTCACGTGCCCCCTCACGGCCACTCCCCTTGCTGCCACTCCCCGTGCCGCGGTTCCTCGGCCTGCTGCCCCCCGCACTGATGCTGCGATTGCGGCGGCGGCTGCTGCTGCTGCCGCGCGCTGCTCTGCCGCTTGGATTTCCTTCTCTCTGTAGCACGCCAGCAGCAGCTCCTGACTGCAACGCATGAGAGTCAGGAAGAAAGACAATAGAGAGGAGAGATTGGCAACGAGTGGAGGCGTGCTGGTTGTCGGCTGCACCTTTCTCTCCTTCTCTCCCTGTAGCACGCCAGCAGCAGCTCCTGACTGCAACGCATGAGAGTCAGGAAGAAAGACAATAGAGAGGAGAGATTGGCAATGAGTGGAGGCGTGCTGGTTGTCGGCTGCACCTTTCTCTCCTTCTCTCCCTGTAGCACGCCAGCAGCAGCTCCTGACTGGGGAGGCGAAGGAGGGTACAGAAAGATGATCGGGAGGGTAACTGGCAACCTGTGAGGGCTTGTTGTCGGTCTGTACTGTAGCACGCAAGCAGCAGCTCCTGACGTGTTTAGAGTCGACTCAAAACACGACTCATGATCGGGAGGGTAACTGGCAATCTGTGCTGTGAGGACTTGCTGTCTGTCTGTAGCTCCTACCAATTTGTGAGGGCACGCAGGCAGCACCTCCTGACTGTGGAGGCGAACGGAAGGGGGTACTGCATTTCATCTTGCACGCACTACGTTTCACCTAGCACGTACCACGTTTCATCTTGCCCGTGCCACGTTTCATCTTGCACGTACCACGTTTCATCTTGCACGTACCACGTTTCATCTTGCACGTACCAGGTTTCGTCTTGCAGTGCCAGCTTGCGCCAGCACATGGGGCACTCCTCTCGACGCTGCGCCCTGGGGGATGGGAAGCAGGGGGGGTAACGGAGCAGGGGGGAGGTGGGAGCAAAAAGGGAAAGGATCAGGAGGGAGGGGGGGAGCAAAGGGGAAACGCAGTGCCAGCTTGCGCCAGCACATGGAGCATTCCTCTTGACATTGGGCCCTGGGGAATGGGGAGCGGGTGGGATGTAGTGCACACATAAGGGGGAAGGGAGCAAAAGGGAAGAGAGAACGGGAGGGCATGCAGTGAGAAGAAATGGGATAGGAGGAAGTGCGGAGGAGACTTTTGACTTTTGAGTCGACTCAAAAAGCGACTTTTGACTTATGAGTCGACTTAAAAGGTGACTTTTGACTTTTGAGTCGACTTAAAAGTTACCTTGAGAACGGGAGGGCATGCAGTGAGAAGAAATGGGATAGGAGGAAGTGCGGAGGAGAGCAGGGGCGAGAAGAGAAGGAAGAAGAGGAAGAGGAGGAAGAGAAGGAAGAGAAGGGAGAGGAGATGAGGAAGAGGAGGAAGAGGAGGAAGAGAAGGAAAGGGAGATGTATCCAACATGTGAGTGGGAGAAGAGGACATTTGAGAATCCCAAAAAAAAAATACTGTGTGCTTATCAGCAGAATTTCAAACGGGTTAAGTCAGCGATGCGCTTACCATTCAAGGACGCACTGAAAGTGGTACTCGTGGTTGCAGACCGTGAGCTGGCAGTAGCACAGGTGGGGAAAGAGAGGGGTAACACACACAGAGAGAAAGGGAAGGGTATGAGGGGGCATGGTCGACTCGACAGAAGAGCACTGGAAGTGGTACTCGTTGTTGCACACTGTGAGCTGGCAGTAGCACAGGTGGGAGCAGGCACACACACACGCACGCACACACAGGCGAAAGGGTGAAAGGGGGAGAGGTGAATGGTCATATGAAACAGGTGAGGCGACGCACTGAAAGTGTTACTCGTGGTTGCAGACCGTGACCTGGCAGCAGCACAGGTGGGGAAAGAGAGGGGCAACACAGAGAGAGAGAAAGGGAAGGATATGAGGGGGCATGGTCGACTCGACAGAAGAGCACTGGAAGTGGTACTCGTGGTTGCAGACCGTGAGCTGGCAGTAGCACAGGTGGGGAAAGAGAGGGGCAACACACAGGGTGAAAGGGGGAGAGGTTGAACGGTGATATACAACAGGCGACAGAAGCAGCAGCAGCGGCGAGGGGAATGGGGAATTGGAAGGAAGGAGTTGAAAAAGAACGGCGTGAGGGGTAACGCGTAAGAGTCGAGCTGGCGCAATGGAAGTGGCTCTTGTGGCTCCACAGGTCACACCGTCCGCCAGCTGGCATGGGCCATGGAGAGACAAAACGCAGCCGCATCAGCCACATCAGCAGCAGCAGCAGCGAGGGGAATGGGGAGGCGATGGAATCGCTTGTCATCACGAGCTCAAGCCGTCTCAACTCTCCAACCATCGGGTCTGCTTGGGGAGTTGAGACGGCTTAAGCTCCCCTGTCTAGGTGCTTCAGGTGTGTCCACTTGCGCGCTGCCTTGCACACTACCAGGCGCGCCCCACCCCACCAGGCGCGCCCCACCCCACCAGGCGGACTTGCAACCTTCCAGGCTTCAGCCAGCCTTCCAGACACCAGGCACGCCCGCGGCCCAATCCCCCTCTCCTACATTTCCCACCGTTTAAATTTGGCGCATTTGGTTTCAGTCCTTGCCATGCGGGACTTACAACGCGTACAGGGTCAACTGGGTTCAGTCCTTCCTTACAACGCGGCCCGGATCCAAACGGAATCCAGGGTCAACTGAGGAGACGGACGGATGACGCGAGGCGGGGTGGGGCAGGAAGGGAGATTCGAAAGAGAAATCCCGGCATGAGGAACTCACCCTTTGAGTCAAATTCACTCATGCCGACCACAAGGGAAGTGCAGCTTAGGGCATGTTCACTCGCAATGGTGGGGTCGGGGTGGGGGGAAGGCGTCGAGGCGGATGCTACACAGATTGTCCTTGCACACGCCTTGGCGAAACCCCATCTCTTTTCCGCGAGAGAAGTTAGGAGAACTTACCTCACGTCTAACACAGGGTGTGTTCACTCACAGTGCCAGGGTCGGATTTAGTAAACGCGTCCAGGCAAATGCTGCACGAGCCATCCTTCGCTTCTAGGCGGCACTTCAACGGTCAAATTCAACCCCCCGCGAATAAGCTCAAGTGATGCTGCAGGAGGTGTGACGGAGGGAGGAACTCACCTCACCTCATTTCTCAACTCAGGGTGTGTTCACTTACGGTGGCGGGGTCGGATTCGGTGAACGCGTCGAGGCAGATGCTGCACGAGTCCTCCTCCGCGTGTTGTGAGCACTCCAACTCATTTCCGTGTGAAGAATACTCTCGAGTTCAAGGTTGGAGTGGGTGGAAACGGAAGGATTTCACACAGGAGCACTCACAGCGGCGGGGTCGGATTCAGTGAAGGCATCCAGGCGGATGCTGCACGAGTCTTGGGGGCATTCCAAGGCAACGGCAAGGTAAGGGCAAGGCAAAGAGCAAAGCAAGGGCACTCACAGCGGCGGGGTCGGATTCAGTGAAGGCGTCGAGTCGGATGCTGCACGAATTGTCCTCCTCCGTATCTTGGCAGCACTTGAACGGTCCAACTCGCGTGAATACGCTCAAGTTACATAACGGAGAGTGTGACGCGACTCAACTCACTTCTAACTCGGGGCGTGTTCACTCACGGTGGCGGGGTCGGATTCGGTGAACGCGTCGAGGCAGATGCTGCACGAGTCTTCCTCCGCGTCTTGCACTCCCGCCGCCACCAGCGCTGCTGCCGACACCAGCCGAACGGCCGCCTCACTAGCAGCGGACTCGCTAGGAGCAGACTCGCTATTAGATGACTCGCCAGGAGAACATTCGCTAGCATCAGGTTCGTTAGGAGCATGCGCGCTCTTAGCATCAAGTTCGACATCATTATTAGCGCAACTGTCGTCGCTTGTGCCGTCAGCAGCGCCATTGCCGCTGGCGTCGGCGCGACCACTTGTGCTGCAGTTACCTGGATGCTCGCGAATGTCGCTGCTATCGCTACCGTGATTACTATCGCCACCGCGGTTACTATCGCTGCAAATGCCCTCACCACCGGAGCTGTTGCACTCGATCCCATCCGAGCTACCAGACGGAATACACCGCAAATCGTTATCCTGCCCCGCCTCTCCTTCTTCAACGTTCATTCTGCCCGAACCTAGTTCGCCTTCCGTCCTCGTTACACAATCTTCCGTTATAACGTCCGCCGTGGCAACCCCACACGTGGCCTCGTCGACAACTGTCCCTTCACGCCGGCCACTCCCGAGCGCGTCCCTTGACAAATCCGGGCCGTCCTTCAACGAATCTAGCTTTCCGTCGAGAGTCGTGACCGTAAGATCGACAATCCCTAAATTCGGTCCGTTATCGACGGTTCTCCATGGCTCGGGAACTACTCTGCAAAACGGCATCGCCATTCTCGCAATATTTATTCAGCCGAATCGAGTTAAATTAGTTAATGGGAAACCGAACGACGAAACGGCGTCGCCATTATCACGGAACGTCCTGTGTCGACTTTGACTATTGTTTTCAGGGAATACTAGGTTTCTGGCGCATCCAAAGCAACTCCTACAATCTAGTCCATTCGTGGAGCAACGACGACTGACGCGCCACTTTAGCGAACCCGTTGCTGGCTCGTAATCTCACCTCTACTACGCGATAAATGAAAGCTTTAACGACAGACTAAGAGCTGAAATACCGCGCTGCAAACAAGAGTCTCGTAAGAGCAGCCCACTGATAGCCGCAAGACTTAGAGCGGGGATTCTTTGGGTGAGAAAAGGCGACTGGAGGAGACGAATGAGCTGTAGTGGACTAATGAATGAACTATGGTGGTCGTCATTCCGTCCGTACATAACACAGCACGCGTGACTTTTCTTCCGCACTGCGAGGCTCCTCCCTGCCTCGATTTCATCACAGTACCAGCTTGGAGCAGAACGGTTGGGATTGTCCGAAAGGGATTAAGTTCGGTCGTGCTGGTAGCAAGGGCTGGGTTTTCCAGCAAAAGCTCGTTTGGGCGTCAGTGGCCTCTTGATGGGGCGTGTTTTCAAACCTCATCCCACTTCTGAATCTGCATCCAGGGAACATGGCGGCCTCGAGAGACGAACACAAAGAAGTATTGGAAATTGAAGAACTTTGGTAACAGGTCGCTAATTTCTATCTGTGAATGAGTTTCAAAACTAAAAAAATACTGCCTGGGTTTCGGCGGCAGCAGAAGTAGGAGCCAGAAGATCAGGCGCGAGCGCGGGCACGGGCGCGGGCACTCGCGCAGCCGCAATGTTGGGAGCCGGATGAATGATGTCAGCGGACGGGTTTCCGTACACATGATGCCCGGTTGAGCTCCCCGACCTCGGCCTGCCCTATGGGTCTATAAGTGATTCAAGCATTTCGTGGAGGTTTCGTCAATTCGCATCACGCAAAAAGGGCTTATAAAAAACAATTGTAACTTACTGTTGACTCTTTGACTGCAGTCTTATGAGTCAGACTTTCGTTCCTGGCTTTCCTATTGGTCGACGTGCTTGTACCGTAGGTGTAACTTTGCGGCAGGAAACCCACGGGTGCAAGGTTTCTGGAATGTACAAGGCAATTTTGCGTGCAGGGGTTGGGCATCACTTGTACCGCACCTGGGGCACAATTCTCAAGGTTGGGGAAGGGCATTGCCTTGACTGCCAGTTCAGAGGGTGGTGCTGGTGGCGCACTGCGCACCACGCCGCTCGCCCATCATGTGTCTGGAGAGAGTGAGCGGAGAACGCAGTGGGAACCCTTCTAACCTCACGTCACCGAATCATAACTCTGCGTACCATCTTCAGCAACGTCCCAACCTCACCCACATCCGAGTGCCCCATTTCTCACACCCCATTTCCCCCCACCCTCCAACAAGTGCTGCTTCAGCTCGCTGCGCGCCCTTACCAAAACACCCCATTTTCATTTGTTTTTCCCTACCCTGCCCCTCAACAACAACCACACGTTCAAGGTTCATCGACTCCATCCATTCGCTGTTGCACCTTGCGGAGACTGCGCTGAGGATGCCCTATCCTGGCGTCTTGGAGTCTTGGTTCACTCAGGGCCCGGCTCAACATTGTTCAGAATACTGTTCAAACTTGAAACTACCATCATCCAATACGTAGTAACGCCATCTACTAATTATAAGTGTTATGAGTTGTGAAAGAGTGCGCATAATGCAATGACGCGGAAGTGATTACAAAGTCTAACACATAATGAAGCCCAGGGCTAATATAGCAAGGCTACCTAGGTGATGGTCGCGGGATCGCGAGATGGTTGGTTGTAGGTTCGGGATTGGAAAATCTGAAAGTGACGCGATGGTGGCTCGGAAGGCGATGTCGTCGGACCGAGCCTGGTTTCCAAAAAATGAGTTGTACGCGTACAGTGTGACCCAGTAAGGAATCCAGGAAAATTCCTTACACGATCCCCCCTTTAAGAATTGTGGTATATATCCGGGACACCCCGGCGGATCATGTATGCATTCACAACCGGATCTTCTTGTAGCGAGTCAGCGGCGACATATGTGTCGTCCTCGCCCGTGCGATATTTCCAGCGAAGCAGGAAAATGGTGAGCCCGACAGCCGTTAGATCCACGCGATGGTTCAAGATCTTCCAAGGTTCGAGCGTGGGCTCCGACACAGGCCGTGTGGTTGGCGC